ATTCCGTTTTATATGAATTCCATGTTGTACGAGTCACTTAGATTTTACAAATACGTGTGCCGGGCTGTGAACGGCTCCCGTATTTGTAAAATCTAAGTGACTCGTACAACATGGAATTCATATAAAACGGAATAATCAACAGTATTATAGAGAGGTCGACTGTACACAGTGAAGAATACATTGAAAGTTAAGTTAGTTTTCGTCGAATGGTGTCCACTAATAATGAGCAATGGTAACAATTTTCTCGACTTAAAATGCTTGGCAACACACGTTTTATTTACGATTTCTCACGTAATTTTATTCGTAAGCGATTTATTTTCAACTTTATGTCGATTATATTCGAGATTACTTAATACATTATTGATTATTTAATTAAACTAGGGCTATCATACATTTTCCATAACATTAGCCTGGGCTATATACGAACTAGGAAGATATCCGAATATACAAAGGAAAATTCAGAATGAGTTGGACGAAATATTTCGAGACGATCCAAACAGAAGTACGACAAAAGAAGATTTATCAAAAATGGCGTACTTGCAACTCTTCATTAAAGTAAGTTTCAATGTTATTATTTATCTTCTATAAGATGTAACAATTCTTACGTAATGGTATTTCATGTTTATGTATTTATTTGTTATATAAAGTATATTTTTGTTATCAATTGTTTTAATAATTATTATAATGTCGCATAAAATAGGAAATATTGAGAAAATATCCAGCTTTGCCAGTGACGATGAGAAGTTCGGAAAAAATGCTACGATTTGGTATGATTATTGACATTAATTGTATCGTTGTTATATATTATGCACGGTATTGATAATTCTGCTATCTTAGAAAGGCTTATACGTGTTTGAGATATTTAAATTACACGCAGATTTTGCACAATACACACACACGCCTCGACTTATATTCACAGGTGAGGAAATGATTCCGAAAAATTCCATTTATTTCATCGATATATTTCATATGCAGAGGAATCCTGAAATATATACGAATCCAGAAGTCATCGATCCTGACAGATTTCTTGAAGAGAATTCTAAACGGAGACATCCTTATTCTTTCGTCCCATTTTCGGCTGGAATTAGAAAATGTATTGGTAAGGATTTTAATTTTTAATGTTAGAATAGTCTTCGATCGATAGTTCTGGCGTTTTGGCTCGCTCGAGAGCGATAAAGTGATAATCTTGTGTTTTGCGTGCAATGTCGTGGAGATGCGAATATCGATATACCCCAGTCGACTCCCCCTATAGCACTGTTCATTATTCCGTTTTATGTGAATTCCGTGTTGTACGAGTCACTTAGATTTTACAAATACGTGAGCCGTTCACAGCCCGGCACACGTATTTGTAAAATCTAAGTGACTCGTACAACACGGAATTCACATAAAACGGAATAATGAACAGTGCTATAGGGGGAGTCGACTGGGGTATATCGATATTCGCATCTCCACGACATTGCACGCAAAACACAAGATTATCACTTTATCGCTCTCGAGCGAGCCAAAACGCCAGAACTATCGATCGAAGACTATTCTAACATTAAAAATTAAAATCCTTACCAATACATTTTCTAATTCCAGCCGAAAATGGGACGAAAGAATAAGGATGTCTCCGTTTAGAATTCTCTTCAAGAAATCTGTCAGGATCGATGACTTCTGGATTCGTATATATTTCAGGATTCCTCTGCATATGAAATATATCGATGAAATAAATGGAATTTTTCGGAATCATTTCCTCACCTGTGAATATAAGTCGAGGCGTGTGTGTGTATTGTGCAAAATCTGCGTGTAATTTAAATATCTCAAACACGTATAAGCCTTTCTAAGATAGCAGAATTATCAATACCGTGCATAATATATAACAACGATACAATTAATGTCAATAATCATACCAAATCGTAGCATTTTTTCCGAACTTCTCATCGTCACTGGCAAAGCTGGATATTTTCTCAATATTTCCTATTTTATGCGACATTATAATAATTATTAAAACAATTGATAACAAAAATATACTTTATATAACAAATAAATACATAAACATGAAATACCATTACGTAAGAATTGTTACATCTTATAGAAGATAAATAATAACATTGAAACTTACTTTAATGAAGAGTTGCAAGTACGCCATTTTTGATAAATCTTCTTTTGTCGTACTTCTGTTTGGATCGTCTCGAAATATTTCGTCCAACTCATTCTGAATTTTCCTTTGTATATTCGGATATCTTCCTAGTTCGTATATAGCCCAGGCTAATGTTATGGAAAATGTATGATAGCCCTAGTTTAATTAAATAATCAATAATGTATTAAGTAATCTCGAATATAATCGACATAAAGTTGAAAATAAATCGCTTACGAATAAAATTACGTGAGAAATCGTAAATAAAACGTGTGTTGCCAAGCATTTTAAGTCGAGAAAATTGTTACCATTGCTCATTATTAGTGGACACCATTCGACGAAAACTAACTTAACTTTCAATGTATTCTTCACTGTGTACAGTCGACCTCTCTATAATACTGTTGATTATTCCGTTTTATATGAATTCCATGTTGTACGAGTCACTTAGATTTTACAAATACGGGAGCCGTTCACAGCCCGGCACACGTATTTGTAAAATCTAAGTGACTCGTACAACATGGAATTCATATAAAACGGAATAATCAACAGTGTTATAGGGAGGTCGACTTGTATTTCTAATTAAAACACTCTCGAGAGGTAACCTGCCGAGTTTATTAGATTTAGAAAAGAGTAGCAATCAGCCAAAAATAGTTCGTGTTTATTCTAATCGCCTTCTTTGTTATATTAATGGTAATTTACTGCGTGTATACGCCTATACTATCCAGAATAAGTGTCAGAATCGTTGTTTAACCATCACTGTAATTTACCGTATAAGCAGAGTTGCGCTAGTATAGTACATAAAATACAATATTATTATTACACGAAATGAAGAACACGAATACAGACCGATACTTACTGCTACTAGAAAAACCACAATGTCATCGATGACATTTTTCATGGTAACATCTGGATTTTTGTTCAAAGATAACAGAAGCAAATCAGTACACGATAACCTATCATTTTCGTCTAAATCCTGCGTATTCAGTTCTTGGAGTCGTTCCATAACAATCTGAATTAAAAAGTATATATTAATGAACTGTTACGAAAGTATTTTATCCTACATAATTAAAGTTACTAACGTCCTTCACAAGTTCCCTGGCAGTTCTTTTACATTTATTATATTTACGCCCGTATTTTGTAAGCGAAAAAATGGTATTTGACCATAAAAATACATTAAAAATTCTTCTTACCAGACTCGACCCCATTCTGTAAATATAAAATGACTTATTTCAAATAAATAAATATGAGTACCATAATTTAAAAATCTGTAACTAAAAGTACTTACACTTCATCTAATTCCATAAAAGTAGAATACATGCCGAAATATTTCGACTTTCTTGAAATTCCTATTATAGTCCCTATTAACAAATATAATTCTTGGTAAATAAAACTAGTGTTTCCATATTTTCATTATAAAAATATAAAGTTTTATTTTCAAATTTTATAGAAAACTATATGGCTTCTTCTAAATATAATTTACAGAATCGATAATAACAATGCCATTCGTATATGATCCTTGGCATATCCAGATATCGTGGTTAATAAGCATTTTCGACAGATTTGTATACAAATTTATTTATATATACGTGTAAAAACAGGTAGACACGGATGTTTTCGATTCAGAAAGACAGAGATATAAGCTCCCTCTTAAAATTTCCAATCGATATTTTATGGTGATATTTAAGGCATTAGAGAGGTTGCGGCCGACGTTTCCAACGCGAAAACCTGTACGTCGGACGTTTAGCACCGCCTTCCTGTAAGCCTAGAAGTTTGACAATGGCGTTTGGAACGTCAAACATGATCCCACTGACGTTCCAAACGCCATTGTCAAACTTCTAGGCTTACAGGAAGGCGGTGCTAAACGTCCGACGTACACGTTTTCGCGTTGGAAACGTCTGCCGCAACCTCTCTATTAACTAAGTTAAAAGGCTGATAACTGCTGAGTTTCGTAGCAATTGGTTGAACGGTTTAAGTGTGCATAGCGAACAAACAAGAATACTCATTTATATAAATAAATGGCCATTGAATACGAGAATTCCCTGTTTATTGTTTCTAAACACTGCTAACTTTCAATATAAAGCAAATCTTTTGTCTTCTGTAACTTACCAAGAAGAATAGAGAAAACGTGTTTCCTTATAATTGGAAAAACTGGTGTCCATTCTTTGCCACAACTTTCTTTTAATTCGTCTACAAATCTTTTTGCATTTTCATCAATAACTGACTGAAATTTATCAAGAGTCTTTTGATTAAATGTTGGAGCGAGTAACTTCTTTCTAATTCTCCACTTTTCTCCATTCCTAAATAGAAGGAAGATAAGTGCGATATATAAAATGTACCACTAATTAATTCAAATATCGAATGAACTGAGGGATTACTTTATCAAGCTTTTAAGGCTAAATAATTACTAAGAAATTTGGCGTGAAACAGGCAGCCATATCTTGTTAAATATACAAGATATGGCTGCCTGTTTCACGCCAAAACTCCTAGTAATTATTTAGCTGTAATAGAACAATTAAAAAAATCCGGCTGTTCGTTCGATACATATATTTATGTACGTATTTATTATTGTTGCCTACCTGAATAGCAATGAATCTGCCGCTAAACCTTTCTGCGCGTATTTCATTAAAGGCCTATTAATATTTTCGTCATCATCCAACAACATCTGAAAATTCATTCGAATATTAATAATAATTGAATTACATAAAAATACAAATTTAGTTTTTGTATCGCATTCGTAGGAGCATACAATGATGGAGTAAATTATCACTTATAAAGACTATTTAAGATAACAGTCTTCTTTAAATCGGCCTTATGTAGTGTGTTAAATATAATTGTTACAATGTTAGTACAGGCCACGAGTATTTACTTTCGAGCATCGCAAAAACTTGCGGGTGCAGAAACAGCTTACTTGGCCTGGTTTAAGAATTTTTATGTGTTGTATAATAACAATAGAATCTAATTTTGATGTAAATCGGTCAGTAGCAAGAACATTACACTCTTCTTCGAGATATTGAGCTTTCAATAAGGTGAGTCATCTATTACGTTCAGTTTCTCGTGGGCTCGTGAAGCTGTGTCAGGCATATTTGCGAGGTTTTGCAATTTTCTAAAATGTTAAGTGTAAAGCCTGCCGCAAACTAGACAACGCCGTCGCTGCAAAATGACGAGGACCTATGACGACGATTTGCGTCGTCAAATACAAGCAGCCAAAAGTAACTGATGTTAGCAGCAGCTGCTTCCATTTGTTGTCTATTAAGCAGAAATTTAATAAATAAACGAAAATGAAATCAGGGACTCGATAAATTTATAAATCAATAAAATAATTTACATTCTTACTTCTATAAAAAGCTATGAAATAGCTTTGTTTTGTAATCCCGAAAGGTATGACGTAGAGTGACGTTGAGTCGATGACGGAAAATCGATGGTTTACCGGGCGATAATCGACGTTGCCTTTGACCAATTTACTTCGATATTGCCTAGTTTGCAGCGGCGTTAAGTGTCATTGCCATTTTCAACCGCTGACACTTCTGTATCTTAGATGGTGGTTCGTGCGAAGTTTCGTGGCTATTCGCCTTATACTCCTGGAGACTCGTGGTTGATCGCTAGGCGACCGAAAAACCGGCCTTATAAACGGCCTAGACGTGCGCGGGTAAAGGATGCCTTCCGGGAGGACTTTTATGGAAAACTGGCCGTGTGGACGACGCCTATTCGGGCGTCGTCCACACGGAGAAAACCTGAAGAACTCCATGCTGCCAGCCCGTCCGAGCGAGGCGCGAACCCACGACCGAACGCCTAGTGTTTAGGGACTGGTTCACGCAAAGAGTAGAGACGGAGTCCACTCGGCCACGGGGGGGGGCCAACCGCTGACACTTGGTTCCGCGTTTGTGCCTGATGAACGAGCGGGTCACGTACATTTATTTCGGGATTTTCTTCACGTCTAATATTTAAATAAGGACTTGTTTTTCGTTAAAGTGTCTTTTCAAGAGGCGAGTCTTCCTAAACTGCGCCGCATTCTCTCTTATATAAACTACTGTAAACACGATAATTGTGATTGACACAATTCTACAATAAAATTTTTATGGTGCATCCCATTAAATGCAAATTAATGGGTCAAAATTAATGTTACGTCATCATTTAAACTTGAACTTACTTTTATATATTCTGGACGGAATACAAGTATCCATTTTGTAAAAATCAAATTTATAGAGATGTATCCTTTACATCTCCGGTAAAGGAATGTTTCATCTATAAAGCAGTCGAGTCCTGAAAAGAATATATTTGCGATATTATTATTAAAATACAATCTATCTCATTATATAAAGTAAGTCATTTATATGCGTATATTATTACAGTAAATATTATATTACATACATTAAAGAACTTAATAAATTTCATCGGTGTGTGTGTAATGACATCAGATAATAAATTACTTTACATTTTTCATCGAATCAGTGGGAACAACCCCAATAAATTTCCATGAAAGCCCGGTCCGGGATATGTTGGTTGCACCATCACGGGCCTGGAAGAATCCATAGTAGATTCTACCATCATCTGCCAGGTGGGACCAACAATCGGGCCCATATACATTATAAAAATTATTTGTTCTGGTATAAAAACTTACCAATTTTCTTCGTTCTTAATTTTAATAAAAATTTCAAATAAGTATGAAGATGATTGCAATCTCCGAAGCATTTGGAATCCTTTATCCAATTATAAATACGAAGCGTTACGTAAATGAGTAGAATAAAACATAATAAACCGATAATTGTATAAGCCATTCCGGAATAGAAAGCATTTTGTAGTATATTTCCCATATTTTTATGGCTGAAAAGATAAAAATGCAATATTTACGTACAGAATAAATACAGTATATCCCTATAACACTGTTGATAATTCCGTGTTATATGAATTTCGTGTTGTAGGAGTCACTTAGATTTTACAAATGCGTGTACCGTTCGCAGCCCGGCACACGTATTTGTAAAATCTAAGTGACTCGTACAACACGTTCGATACATATATTTATGTACGTATTTATTATTGTTGCCTACCTGAATAGCAATGAATCTGCCGCTATACCTTTCTGCGCGTATTTCATTAAAGGCCTATCAATATTTTCGTCATCATCCAACAACATCTGAAAATTCATTCGAATGTTAATAATAATTGAATTACATAAAAATACAAATTTAGTTTTTGTATCGCATTCGTAGGAGCATACAATGATGGAGTAAATTATCACTTATAAAGACTATTTAAGATAACAGTCTTCTTTAAATCGGCCTTATGTAGTGTGTTAAATATAATTGTTACAATGTTAGTACAGGCCACGAGTATTTACTTTCGAGCATCGCAAAAACTTGCGGGTGCAGAAACAGCTTACTTGGCCTGGTTTAAGAATTTTTATGTGTTGTATAATAACAATAGAATCTAATTTTGATGTAAATCGGTCAGTAGCAAGAACATTACACTCTTCTTCGAGATATTGAGCTTTCAATAAGGTGAGTCATCTATTACGTTCAGTTTCTCGTGGGCTCGTGAAGCTGTGTCAGGCATATTTGCGAGGTTTTGCAATTTTCTAAAATGTTAAGTGTAAAGCCTGCCGCAAACTAGACAACGCCGTCGCTGCAAAATGACGAGGACCTATGACGACGATTTGCGTCGTCAAATACAAGCAGCCAAAAGTAACTGATGTTAGCAGCAGCTGCTTCCATTTGTTGTCTATTAAGCAGAAATTTAATAAATAAACGAAAATGAAATCAGGGACTCGATAAATTTATAAATCAATAAAATAATTTACATTCTTACTTCTATAAAAAGCTATGAAATAGCTTTGTTTTGTAATCCCGAAAGGTATGACGTAGAGTGACGTTGAGTCGATGACGGAAAATCGATGGTTTACCGGGCGATAATCGACGTTGCCTTTGACCAATTTACTTCGATATTGCCTAGTTTGCAGCGGCGTTAAGTGTCATTGCCATTTTCAACCGCTGACACTTCTGTATCTTAGATGGTGGTTCGTGCGAAGTTTCGTGGCTATTCGCCTTATACTCCTGGAGACTCGTGGTTGATAGCTAGGCGACCGAAAAACCGGCCTTATAAACGGCCTAGACGTGCGCGGGTAAAGGATGCCTTCCNTCAATTAGGGTGTTGGAATTGAGTAATAACACTTATAGGTTTAAATATTATTGAAAATTAAGTATTTAACTGTAAACGACTTAGGTAAGCATCTATAGTTTTAATAATTACCTAATATTTTAAATTACACTAGTATTAATTGTAATCAATTAAAAACCAATCTTTCTTATAACTTAATTGAACAGTTTTGATAAGATAATGACTATAAAATGTAGAATGTTATAAAAAAATTACATAATATTATGCTCTAGAATCCCTACATATAAACAAAATGATTAATACTTTATTATAATCATTTTGTTTTCTGTTATAATAATTAGGTCACGAGTATTTTATTTAAAATTATATTACTTACTTTGTATGAAAGTCCCGTTTTCATGTGGTTACATTTATTGTTTCTTCGCTTCTTCCTGAAAAATGATATCGCGCTGTTAAATACCAGGTGCTTGTTGTTGCTTCATTATCGGCGTGTCTGTCGTGTTTTATTCAATTAACTTTTTGTATTTTAACATTAATTTTTTAATAAATGTAATTGTAGTCGTTGCCGCGTAACTTCTTTCAATAGCTAAAATAAGTAATTTTAAAAACTGCAAATAACACAAAACTTTAATAAAAAGTGTTTTTAGTAATTGGACAAAAGAATATATTTGTAATCACCGTAACTCCCTAATTTCTATGAATTTCAATTCCTCCAATAGGACTGCGACCACACAGTTGCGATCATACGAAAATGAATCTTTCTCTGTATTGGGAATTGCCCTTTAATTAACAAGAAAAAACTATTACATTCCCTCAAGTTCAAATTGAACTGGACAGACTCGGGTTAAACGCATTCTGAACGTTATGTTACTGACGAAATAGGGTAATAACTAACCATTGCGGGTCTCCAAGTTTTATTCCGGGCTCGGAAACTATCCCTAACTATCCTTCGCGACGGTTTCGTGTGAGGGATTCGATTCTTTCACAAATAATTGGAACTTTTGCCAACTACTGTGCAATTAATCACCAAATGAATATGTAATAAAGGCCATCGTAGTTCCTTTAACATATAAAATATTAATTTTATTTGAATGTGCTTAACTCAAATTAAAAACATTTACAATAAAACTAAATACTTCAAAAGTACGGGATGGGTGGAAAGTAACTAGGCATTGAAAAATCGCTATAATTTTCTAACAATCGTGCAGTCAGAATAAAATTAATGTACGTACGTACATAAATTAATGAAATTCAATAATTCCCTCGTCGGTGGTGTGGATAATGACCGAGAGCTCGCGAGCGCAGTGGCAGGAAAGATGGCCGACATTTTGTCTGTCCGACAGCGATTGCTGTATTTCCACGATTTCCGCACCTTATAGCGCAGATTGCTGAATGCGATAAGGTGTGGAAATCGGTCACGGAAACTCAAAATTAAAATAATTTTATGTAGAAACAGTTCGTAAATGAATCGATGCAAATTAAAAGCCTAAATAGGGACAAAACAAGACGTATCAGTTGAGTAGTATTAGTACAGTATATAGATGTTACAGTCAAAACCCGTTTTTAGTTAGAACGCGTTTTAACTAGTTGAAACTAGTTTATACTAAATGTCTTTGCTAAAACCCGTTTTGTCTAGTTAAAATTAGTTTTAACTCAAATTCATTTTTGACTAACAGTAAATTCTAGACAAAACGGGTTTGAACAAAGACATTCAGTATAAACTAGTTTCAACTAGTTAAAACGCGTTCTAACTAAAAACGGGTTTTGACTGTAACATCTATATACTGTACTAATACTACTCAACTGATACGTCTTGTTTTGTCCCTATTTAGGCTTTTAATTTGCATCGATTCATTTACGAACTGTTTCTACATAAAATTATTTTAATTTTGAGTTTCCGTGACCGATTTCCACACCTTATCGCATTCAGCAATCTGCGCTATAAGGTGCGGAAATCGTGGAAATACAGCAATCGCTGTCGGACAGACAAAATGTCGGCCATCTTTCCTGCCACTGCGCTCGCGAGCTCTCGGTCATTATCCACACCACCGACGAGGGAATTATTGAATTTCATTAATTTATGTACGTACGTACATTAATTTTATTCTGACTGCACGATTGTTAGAAAATTATAGCGATTTTTCAATGCCTAGTTACTTTCCACCCATCCCGTACTTTTGAAGTATTTAGTTTTATTGTAAATGTTTTTAATTTGAGTTAAGCACATTCAAATAAAATTAATATTTTATATGTTAAAGGAACTACGATGGCCTTTATTACATATTCATTTGGTGATTAATTGCACAGTAGTTGGCAAAAGTTCCAATTATTTGTGAAAGAATCGAATCCCTCACACGAAACCGTCGCGAAGGATAGTTTCCGAGCCCGGAATAAAACTTGGAGACCCGCAATGGTTAGTTATTACCCTATTTCGTCAGTAACATAACGTTCAGAATGCGTTTAACCCGAGTCTGTCCAGTTCAATTTGAACTTGAGGGAATGTAATAGTTTTTTCTTGTTAATTAAAGGGCAATTCCCAATACAGAGAAAGATTCATTTTCGTATGATCGCAACTGTGTGGTCGCAGTCCTATTGGAGGAATTGAAATTCATAGAAATTAGGGAGTTACGGTGATTACAAATATATTCTTTTGTCCAATTACTAAAAACACTTTTTATTAAAGTTTTGTGTTATTTGCAGTTTTTAAAATTACTTATTTTAGCTATTGAAAGAAGTTACGCGGCAACGACTACAATTACATTTATTAAAAAATTAATGTTAAAATACAAAAAGTTAATTGAATAAAACACGACAGACACGCCGATAATGAAGCAACAACAAGCACCTGGTACTTAACAGCGCGATATCATTTTTCAGGAAGAAGCGAAGAAACAATAAATGTAACCACATGAAAACGGGACTTTCATACAAAGTAAGTAATATAATTTTAAATAAAATACTCGTGACCTAATTATTATAACAGAAAACAAAATGATTATAATAAAGTATTAATCATTTTGTTTATATGTAGGGATTCTAGAGC